GGTGGGAGGGGGTGGGAGGGGGTGGCCCAGGAGGAGGGGTGGGAGGGGGTGGCCCAGGGAGGAGGGGGTGGGAGGGGATGGCCCAGGAGGAGGGGGTGGGAGGGGGTGGCCCAGGAGGAGAGGTGGGAGGGGGTGGCCCAGGGAGGAGGGGGTGGGAGGGGGTGGCCCAGGTAGGAGGGGTGGGAGGGGATGGCCGCGCATGCAGCTCCCAGGTTTTGTGCGATGCTGTTGCCGCTGACAATCAGGTCAATTACATCTTGAGGGCTTCTTTTTTAATTAAAGGAGCTGACTTGTCAGTAGAAATACGAGGTGGTGAATGGAATGGCTGTGTTTTTTCTTCTTCTTCTGTGTGGCGACACACCCCGCCTCTCTGTGACTGCACTTCCTCTTGCTGATGATGGCTGATTTGAGACTGAGAGCGTTTGTAATTACGGCAAAAAAACACTGCGGGGAATGATTCACATTGTACGCGCGAACTACAGTACATTCTTACAATAAGTACTGTCTGCAACTGCCTCCTTAAACACAACTAGCCCGGATAAGGTGCCAACTTTAAACACTCAGCAGTCAAACTCTCAGGATGCGTGCCTGTCATGAATCCCAACGAAACTTTTGCGCATTCTAAAATGTATGGTGGGATTTAATGGCTGCGTCGCTTGGCTCCCCCTCGCTTTGTTTCGTGTGTGCGCGTGCGTGGAGAGAGAGAGAGGCGGGGAGCTGGGGGAGGGGGGCATGCGACGAGGAAGGTCGATCAACAAAGCGGAGACGGAGTGATGAAATCAGAGGCGTGCGTTGAGTGTTGTTGAGCGAGCCGCGTGGAGGATGAACCCCCAACGCCACCACCGCCGCAGCCACCACCACCACCACCATCGTCATCACCCCGAGGGCAGTGGCCGTGTAAATGAGACGGGGACGGCGCAGGAGCAAAAAACGTGACGCAGATCGATGGTGCCCCGAGTCGTGCCCCGCTATTCATTAACGTGGGGGGGTGGGGGTGGGGGTATTGGTGGTGCCACACAAAGCCACTGCCCAACGCGTCCAGCCTCAATCGTGCAGCGGCGGCGTTGGTGTAAGAACCGAAGGGTTTGGTGCTTGGAGCGACGCTGCGGTTACGGAGGGCGCTCGAGCTGGGTTTCTGGACTCGCAGTCGGGAGGACATTCGTGTTGTAAGGGAAGGACTCGGGCTCTGTAGGACTGCGGAGATGTAAGCCAGAGCTGGAGTCTACATTTAACAGTGCGGGCTAGAGGCAGCCTTTACTCGTAGGGGCTTTGATTTAAAAAAAAAATTAAACGAACGTGGGAAGTTCAGAGCCGGGGTGGGCAACCTGCGGCTCTGTACGCGCTGCTTTGTGACGTAATGAGTGTGTGTGTGTCGTCACATCCGTTGCGGCTCTTGAAATATTGAGTTTTGTACAGAATTCGAATGTGTTTTTTGTTTTGTTATCATCTGGTTTAGAACAAGAGTCAACGTTAAATTATAACACGAGGTCCAGGGAGATTGCTCGGACCAGGGGCTATATGGTCTGTCTACTCCTTAATACGTGCTGGACATTGGCACACAGTGTGTCACCGTAGATGGTGAGGCCTGTATCCATCCAGCAGTGGATTGAATGATAACATGTAAGTGACACGACTGCTGTGTCACCTCGCGCCGCACGGGGACAGCTGCCTCTGGGGGTTCTCTCGGAAAAATGTTTGCGATGAGTTGTAACGTCACCAACCAACAACGCCACGTGCATGCAAAGAGTAATATTATCCCACTGTGCCTGTAATAATAACAACAACAACTGCACGTGGTTTTGATTTTACCAGCCGGTGATGTGACTTCAGGTAAAGATATTGTTGTTGTTGTTGTTGTAACTTCTGCGTGTGTGGGATGCGTCACCCACTCCGCACACAATGGGACTGCCTAGCAGCAGCGCTTATTATTATTTATGCATGGAACGCATGAACTTTGGAAGCTGAAAACCAGCATTGATTTTCTGACACGATTAATGAATCACAATGGAACCCAGGAGCCACCTCCCCGCACGAGTTACAATGGCGAGCTGCTGTAAACAAGTTAACGGATGTCACCTGTGCCGATTCTACACCACAGTAAATATGCGCGCAGAGCTGCCCCTAGGGTAGACAGCGAGTCGGGGCGACCGCCCGGGGACCCGCGCTTTGGGGGTCACCGCGCTCCGACGGATGTCACACTTTTAGTTTGAAGGCTCCGGGGGTGGGGTGGGGGGGGCACACGGTGGGGTTTGTCTCGGGCCCTGCACCCCGCTGTGGACGGCCCTGTGTAGACGCGTGAGTGACGCGTGTGCAAGGTGTGGGATTGGGCACGTGTTCTCAGGCAAATTGTGACGGATTTAATGCAACACTACGTCGTTCACCGAATCGCAGACGCGTTTGCACACGGGGTTACGTTGACCAAATAGTAAAGATAGCTCAGACGCTGGCCAAGCAGACCTAGGATGTGAAGTAGCATTTACAGTGTGGCTCAGAAGGGTCCAGGCTAATAAAGACACTCCACTCATTGTGTCGTCGTGCAGGACTTGTGCGTACCGTGCTCTGCGGATTATAAGGCGCTCCGGGAAGTAAAACCGCACCGACGATTTGCACGGTTGGCTACGTACGGTGCGAAAGAAGTTCAACATGCAAGACGCGATCCCAAACTTGTGCCCGGTGTCAATGAGGGTATATAAAATCTGGCTTAAAGAAAAGAAGAAAAAAACACATAGGTACAGCTACCGGATTATAACGCGCAACTCAAACTTTTGCTTCCAACTGCAGGTGGCGAAATGTGAGTCTTATAATCTCGAGCAATACGGTGTGCTGCGTGTGGCATCCCGGCATCTTGAGCATGGCCAAGTGTTCCGAAATGAGTAGTAGATTGTTTGTGGTCCATCTTGTGTGCCGCGTACGCGCAAAACGCGTGTGTGACGTCGAGCACACGAGTGTATAATGTGGGGAGTGGTGGTGGATTGGGCCACGAACCCGGGTGACCCGAGATCGATTCCCGCTCACGACCAATAACAGTGGCGAATATTTCAACGGGTCCTGGGCCTACCCCTAGGCCGCCTCAGAGCCTCAAATTGGTTTCTTCAGCGCCGTGGAAACATCACCAGTGGAGAAACAACGGCGGCCGGGCGTGGTGCTTGCCTCCTAACCCCCGTTACGTGCCGTGCCGGCTATCGTGGGCGCTCGCTAACAGCACTTTCCCCAACATTCTATCGAGTCGTTACGGGTGATCTTTGTCTTCGTGTACCCAAGCGAAAGCCTATCGAGCCGAGTGACGTTTCTCAAAGCAAACGCCTCGAGCGAGACCAACGCAGCCCCGGTTATAGGTGATGACGTGGACAACCGTGTCCTTTGGAAGCGCTGTCACGGGCGGTGATCAATGCGAGGAACTTGGGGCAAGAACGCGAGCGTGCAGCGTCCTACTTTTGGGATGATGATGACGATGATGATGACGATGAGTGACAGGGCCGTAGAGGACGCAACAGTGGTTGGTGAGCTCGCACGTGCGCGAGCGCATGACACCGCCGTTGCTAACTGCGCCCCACTGGGACGAGTGTGCGGACCGTGACAGCTGAATGACAGAGGCCCGATGCCAACATCAAAGCAAGGTTGGGAGCGTTTAAGCTCGTTCATCTGTCTCTCCTTAACCGAGGAGAGAGGGATGGGTGGGGGGGGGGCATGATATCTATCCCGATTCGATTGTATGCAAGCGTACAATGGCAGCTGCAATGTGGTTCGGGATCTCGAAACCAATGTCCAGCGTAGCTGGCCACGACGAGAGGGCTTCAGCATAGAGAGAGAGAGAGTTCGTGTCGTGTCGCTGTTCCTCCTCCTCCGTTGAAGGGGCGCAGGCTACAGTAGGTTTACTGTGTGGTCCACAGTTCTGGTTGCATGGCCACAATCGTGAAGGAGATGCGCGCTTCTCGTAAGGATCGTCCAATATGAGCCAACGAGTACTACAAAGTTGTATCGCTACTCGGGAACCTACCCTTATTTAAAACCGGGCCACGTTATTCAAATTGTTATCAAATGGGTCGCCGCGGTGGCGAGATGTTAACTACCTCGCTTGGTGTACAGGAGGTCGTGGGTTAGATCCCGACCCTGACGCCCGCTGTATGTTTGGAGTTTGCATGTCTCTCTCTCATCATCATCACGGTGGCTAGGAGATGTTAACTACCTCGCCTGTTGTACAGGAGGTCGTGGGTTCGACCCAGACCCTGACGCCCGCTGTATGTTTGGAGTTTGCATGTCTCTCTCTCATCATCATCACGGTGGCTAGGAGATGTTAACTACCTCGCCTGTTGTACAGGAGGTCGTGGGTTCGACCCCGACCCTGACGCCTGCTGTATGTTTGGAGTTTGCGGTGTCTCTCTCCCCGTGGTCGCGTGGATTTTTTTTCTCGGTTCCTCCGGGTTTTTCCCCACCACATTTAGAGTCAACATCACGCGTTTAGAGTGTTTGGTTGATATCAATTTCCACGTGAACATCCACTTCGTCGAGCTATCGTTTGTGATAGCCAGGTCGCTTCTGCAAAAGAGTTACGTATCTCAGTGGGCCTTACCTGGTACAACAAGTATAGTTTAAAAATAGCTTAAATAGGTAAAAAAAAGAAATAATTCCCAAAGCTTTGAGCAACAAACCAGCAGCGCAAAAGGCCTCCTGGCCACCGTGCAATGCAATTGTTTTCTGGCAGTTATCCCGGGGGCTTCCGCCTCTTAAAGCGCATGCGGTGACTTAACAGCGTTCCATCACCCGCGCGCGTGTGTGTGTGTGTGACGATGAGAAGCCTCGCCCCCGTCGTTTCAAACTGCCGCGCCCGGCGAGATCGAATCTGAACCGTCGACTCCAATTGCATCGCGCGTTCAGCACCGCGGGCTACTCCGCGGCAGCACTGAAATCAATCGCAAATGGCAGGGACAAAGCGGGCAGCCCTGCAATTCCCTCGCGCTCGACGCCACCGCTCTACGGCCCTGTCTCTTGGCGGTGTTCACCCGTAAATGGAGTCCTTGTCTCTCTTGACGCTGTCGCCCGACGCGGAGCCGAGCGGAGGAGGCTGCGGGTGCCCGTAGGGCGGCGCGTGCAGCGGGGGCCCCGGGGGCAGGTGGTGGTGGTGGTGGTGCAGGCCCCGGGGACCGTGCGGGTCCCCGTAGACGGACGCGGCCATGGCCGGCGTGAGCCCGTCCAGACCTCCGTACGGGAGCTCCTCGTACTGCCGACAAGCACACGGCGGGGGGAGACACGGGGTTGCTAACGTGCGGTGCAAAAGAAGTTCAACGTACATGCGTGTAACATACATGCATGCATGGGTGAATATTGTGCACGCGGCGCTCGACTGAATGCATCGGCGGCAACTCAAATCGTCTCTCGTCACATCTCAACCACGGCAACTGCCCCCAGCTGCAGGACGCCCCGGTGGCAGCTGTCCCTGTGCGGCTACAACTGTGTACGGAGCAGCAGCCTGCCTTTGCAAATGAACATGAGGCCGCCGGCCAGGGTCTGTTTGTTTACTTGCTAAGGCAGGAGCTAGGGAAGCGGTGGTGATTTTGCACTCCCGTCGTGTTTTTCTATTGCTTGTTGTTGTAACGTTCTGACCCCGTGCCCCTTTAATGGACATATGTGGGGGGGGGGGGGGGGGGGAAGAGCTTCATAGCTCATCGGATTCCTCCTGCAGCGCACGTAAATATTCGTATCATGACCATGCCACGACTCATGGGTTTAGCTGCTCCAGGGCGCCCCTCCACAACGCTACTTGGGCTGCTCGACCACCCTGGCCGTTATTGTTTTTCTTATTCTGAGCCAGGCGGTCCCAAGTTCGAGCTCTCCATCCCGTTCAGCTAACGTGAGCCGGGTGGGACCAGTCGGCCTCAGCCCCCGCGTCGGGCATCGAGGATGATGCGACTGGCAAGGCGTCGCTTGACTGGCGGTGGAAGCAAATTCAAATACAAACTTCAAATCACGGCCACACGGCACCGCCGTAGATTCTCCCACGACGTCGCCGCATGGATGCGGGGCGTTGAAATGTGACGGTCACAACAGGGGACACGACCAGAGCGAGCCGGGTTCACTACGGTGCCATCGAAGTCGCGCGGGAGCGAGTGGGACACGGGGCCCTGGGTGTGCATAGCTACGAGCTAAGAGCCGTGTGGGGCTTAGTGTCCCTGTAAAGACCAAAGCCATCATCCTAACCATCCCCACACCATTCAGTGACAGCAGTGGTCGGGAGTCGAACTCGGAGTCAGATTCTCGCGTACGTGCACACATTTACTTACACAACAACAACAACAACAACCGCCATTCGCCACTAAGTGGCGGTGATGTCACCACGACGCTTGTGCCAGGCTATGTGCACCCTGAGGCCACGTGAAGTGTCGAACGCCCGCTGGCAGGAGGTCACGGGGCAGACCCAAGTGCCACGGGTCGACTGACTGAGATGACTGGCTGATGCACCACCTGTGCCCCCTACTGTGCCAACCTGCTGTGCTTTAGCCACCCGGCGCTCCGCTCGTTGTTCTGAGCGTCGCTCCTCCGCCCTCCGTTGTTGTTGGAGGGCGACTACCTCCAACTGCCCAGTAGCGTCCTTCACGAGCCTCCTCCACAGAGGCCGATCTTGACACCGCTGGTACCAGTCATCGGCAAGACCACTCAGCTCCATGCCCTCCTGTACCACATCACTCCATCTCTTCTCTAGCCCGTGCCGCGCCCGCTTAGCCCCCTCAATCCGGCCGAACAAAAGCTGTTTCGGCATGAGGTGGCTGGGCATGCGGGCTACATGACCCAGCCATTGCAGCCTTGCCCGCCGGAGGAGCTCACCGATGGGACCTTGCCCAGATCTCCTCACACAATCCAGTCTGGTTAAACCAGGATGGATCGTAGGCAGGCCAGCCTAAATGTTTCTAACTGGCGAAGATGTTCCATTAGGGGGGTCCACGTTTCGCAAGCATAGAGAAGGGAGGGAATGACCGTGGCCGAGAAGACCTGAAGCTTAGTGTGGAGCGACAGACCAGGTAGCTTCCACACAGCATTACGCAACCAATGAAAAGATATTGCCGCTCGACTGATTCGGAGAGAGACCTCTGCTGTTAAACTGGAGCCAGTCATAAGCACACGGCCCAGGTATGGGAAACTTACACACGTTCACTCACGCATTCACTTACACACATTCACTTACACATGCATTCACTTACGCACATATTCACTCACATATGCATTCACACACACATTCACTTACATACACATTCACTTACACATTCAATCACACACATTCACTCACACACATTCACTTAGACACGCATTCACTTACATATACATTCACTGACACACATATTCATTTATTTACCACACATTCACTTACACACACATTTACTTACACACACACATTCACTTACACACACATTTACTTACACACACATTCACTCACAAATTCATTCACTTACACCCATTCACTTACACACATTCACTCACACATTCACTTACATACGTTCACTCACGCATTCACTTACACACGTTCAATCACGCATTCACTTACACACATTCACTCACACATTCACTTACACACGTTCACTCACGCATTCACTTACACACGTTCACTCACGCATTCACTTACTCACATTCACTTACACACACATTCACTCACGCATTCACTTACACGCATTCACTCACGCATTCACTTACACATACATTCACTTACACACATTTACTCACACATTCACTTACACACATTCACTCACGCAATCACACACATTCACAAACGCATCCACTTACACACATTCACTTACACACACATTCAATTACACATTCACTTACACATACATTCACACATCCACTTACACACATTCACTTACACACACATTCACTCACACGTTAAATTACACATTCACTTACACACACATTCACTTACAACCATATTCCCTCACACATTCACTTACACACATTCACTAACACATTAACTTATACATACATTCACTTGCACATTCACTTACACACGTTCACTCACGCATTCACTTACACACATTCACTCACGCATTCACTTACACACATTCACTCACACATTCACTGACACACGTTCACTCACGCATTCACTTACACACGTTCACTCACGCATTCACTTACTCACATTCACTTACACACATATTCACTCACGCATTCACTTACACACATTCACTCACGCATTCACTTACACATACATTCACTTACACACATTCACTCACACATTGACTTACACACATTAACTCACGCATTCACTTACACACATTCACAAACGCATCCACTTACATACACATTCACTTACACACACATTCAATTACATATTCACTTACACATACATTCACACACATCCACACATATCCACTTACACATATTCACTTACATACATTCACTCACACATTCACTTACACACATTCACTTACACACATTCACTTACACACATTCACAAACGCATCCACTTACACACGTTCACAAACGAATCTACTTACACACATTCACTTACGCACACATTCAATTACACATTCACTTACACACACATTCACACACATCCACTTACACACACTTTCATTTGCACACATTCACTCACGCATTCACTTACACGCACATTCAATTATACATTGACTTACACACCCATTCACTTACACACACATTCACGCACACATTCACGTACACACACATTCACTCACGCATCCACTTACACACACATTCACTTACACACACATTCAATTACACATTCACTTACACATACATTCACACACATCCACTTACACTCACATTCACTTACACACGCATTCACTCACACATTCACTTACACACATTCACTCACGCATTCACTTACATTCACAAACGCATCCATTTACACACATTCACTTAGACACACATTCAATTACACATTCACTTACACATACATTCACACACATCCAATTCCACACATTCACTTACACACATTCATTTACGCATTCACTTACACACATTCACTCACATACACATTCACTCGTATATTCACTTATACATTTACCCACTCACATAAACATTCACACGCACATTCACTTATACATTCACATACTCGCACATTCACTCACACACACATTCATCACATTCACTCGATCATATTCTGACTGGTACATTCATTCGCACATTCACTTACACACACTCCCTCGCTCAGACTTTCACTCAAACACACATTCACTTCACACGCACATTCACACACGCACGCACCCACAAAGACAAAGATCCCCCGTACAGTCTTCAACTGACTGTTGGGCCACTCCCGCCCGTCTTTGTATCCCTCGTTCCGATATTTACACATCGCACTAGGTATTCATTTAAGGCTGAGTGGACATAGGGGAAAGCCCAGGACCTGTTCATATTTTTGTCTCCGATGTCACACGCACACGTGCATTTACTCTCAGACACACACATTCACTCACACACACATTCACTCACACATTCACTCACATGTATACACCCACATTCACTCACACATTCACTCACATTTACTCACACACACACATTCACTCACATGTACACACACACATTCACTCACACACACATTCACTCACACACACAATCACACACACATTCACTCACACATTCACTCACACATTCACTCACATGTATACACACACATTTACTCACACACATTCACTCACACATTCACTCACATGTATACACCCACATTCACTCACACATTCACTCACATTCACTCACACATTCACTCACATTCACTCACACATTCACTCACACACACATTCACTCACACACACATTCACTCACATGTATACACACACATTCACTCACACATTCACTCGCATTCACTCACACACACATTCACTGACATGTATACACACATTTAATCAAACACACATTCACTCACATGTATACACACATTTACTCAAACACACATTCACTCACATGTATGCACACACATTCACTCACACATTCACTCACATTCACTCATACATTCACTCACACATTCACTAACATTCACTCACACATTCACTCACACATTCACTCACACACACATTCACTCACACATTCACTCACATTCATTCACACATTCACTCACATACACATTCACTCACATGTATACACACATTTACTCACATGTACACACACACACATTCACTCACACATTCACTCACATGTATACACACATTCACTCACATGTACACACACACATTCACTCACATACACATTCACTCACATGTATACACACATTTACTC